CTGGGGGAGGCAGGGGGCACTGCAGACATGGTGCTGTGGGCACTGGCTTTCAGCCTGGCTCCCACCAGCATTGGCTGCACGTCTTCCTCCCTACCCCCTCCCTCCACTTGCCGCCTCTTAAGCCAGCAGCCAATGCGCCACTCAACTACCCCATAAGATTATGCTGATTAGGCAGTCAACTAACACCCCTGCTGGTCTAGGACACGTTACTTAATTATTTGTGCTCACATGAATAGTTGACTTGAAGTCCATAAATGCATCAATACGAATTTGCAGCATTGGGCCATAAAGCGTCTCAGTGGCTTTGACATCCTTTTCACAAGGACTTAACAAGACTTTGAACTTTCTCACCCATTACCAAGACAGTTTCCCCAATTATCACCTGTAATACCATTAACTCACAAACATCCCACTCTCCCTACCTTTAATATCAGCAATTCACAGACACTTACCTTCCTTCCTCCCCCTTCCCACCCCCCACCCCCCGCATCCCCCTTCTGTTCTGCAATGTGATTTGTCCTTTTCATATTTGTTCATTTTTTTTAATTGTTTCCTTTGGTATATATGGTTGTGACTACTTTCTTCCACTATTTGATCTGAGGAAGTGGGTCTGGCCCACGAAAGCTCATCATCTAATAAACCATCTTGTTAGTCTTTAAAGTGCTACATAGTCCTGTATTTTGCTTCAACTACCCCAGACTAACACGGCTACATTTCTATCACTATTCCTTTTCATAGGATACTAGGTGAATACTTTTTTCCTAGCTGCTTAGCCTTTTTTTCAAATTTGAAAGAGGTCATGTCTTTTGTTACCAGCTTCAGTTAGTAAAGGAGACAAGCTCATGAGCTACATAGTAGCGATGTTTTTTTTTTTTTTAAAAAAAGAGGTAATTGGGCAAATGTATAGCCATTGAAAACCTCAGTGGTTACCTGCAGCCTATATTGTTATACTTTCACATCCCTGCTACATAGAGCTCTTCTTCTGTTAATAAAGATACTGCTTTTCTATCCAATGTGTTGGGACTAACATGGCTATGAAACCTCTTTCCCGGATGATAAGAGACAGAAGGGTAGCCAAGTTAGTCTTTAAGGTGCTTCTAAACTATTTGATATTTTTTAAATTTTTCCTGTTACAGACTAACAAAACATGTACATGGTATCATGGGCTTTTGTGGGCACAACTCACTCCTTGAAGAAGGCATCAGTTTCTTTAACTTAAAGGAAAATAGTCTGGGGCATAGCCATGTTAATCTGTAACTTTAGAAAAGTAGTTCTGTGGCACTTTCGTATCATGAGCTTTTGTGGGTTAGACCCTCTTCATCAGCTGCACTTCTCTGATGCCACAGAACTACTTGTTGTTTTTAAAAGAAAATATTATTTTCCTTTCTTTAGTAGCAAGCTAGTGTCTTAGCATTGCTGATTTCTCTGCTTTGGTATTCTTAAGCCAGTTTCATTTTGTTGGTATAGACCATCAAAGTTAGAAGAGTTGAGTAGATGTAACTAAAACGATATAGAAAAGAGCCTCTCAACCCTCTTTTGTGACTAACTCCTCAAGTTCCTCAGTGTTTCTTCTGAAAATATAGAAAATTTGAACTTTTTCTTCCCCATCTTCCATGGCACTTGGAGATGTCTCATTTCTTTCCTTGCTACCAAGATTTTGAGACCCAACATGGTCTTTAAAATAAAATGGTTTGACATTTATATAGCTGTTCAATGTGTATAGAAGCCTTAATTCTGATGACCTGTTCTGTGAATAGTTAATGGTGGCAAAAATTCTATTTGAGCAAGCTGACACTTTTCAAGGACATTCAATTTATAGGGGGAAAAAACAGGAGCCAGTAGTTTTGTATTCTCTGGATTAAAGCTTTTATAGAAATCTGAATTGTGTAGGCAAAGTTTCTGGATAAAGAAACTTACTGTGCTCTTCTGCTTTTTTTTGTGTGTGTCCCCTAGTTTTAGAGAAGTACTACTGCAAAGATGTCCATCGGAGTTCCAATCAAAGTGCTGCATGAGGCAGAAGGCCACATTGTGACATGCGAGACGAATACAGGGGAAGTCTACCGTGGCAAACTCATTGAGGCTGAGGACAATATGAACTGCCAGGTATGTCTGGGAAAAGGAATTATGCATTTTTGGAAAGGTCCCTCTTTGTTGCTTTTTAACTTTACTAAAAATTGACATCTGAGACTAGACGAGAAAGGTGGGTTATCATGCTCTGTAGCTTTGCCAAAGTGAAATAGTCTCACCTGTGATCTAGAGGGGACAGCTGATACTTTTTGGTATATAGGGAATGTTCCTAATATAATTTATGCGTTTTTCAGAACTCGGTTCTATGCCTAATTTGAGGAAATTGCATTTTGCTCATTATTTCAACAGCTTCTCTTGAGTGCTACATGCTCAATTCTAATTGATTTTTTTTGAGCTAGAGTTTTATGTTCAAATAACAAATCATTCACTTTTCTCATGAGAAATTACTTTTGTAATCTAATGTGTAATTACTTTTGTAAACTAATCTTAATATATGTGATACTATGGAAGGGAAGATATTTTTCCTGCTTAGTGAGTTCCTGTTTTATCCCTAAAATAAACAAAGCTTATTTTGGGTTAATGTGAACAACTTTAGGAATTTGTTACTAGAAATACAATTCTGGGAAGATCTAAATAGCCTACACAATCCCCAGGGTTGATAATAGTAAAACTTAAAATGCCTTATCTCCCATAAACATCTACAACGGACAAAGAGTATTTGAAAATTCTGTAGGGCAGGTCTTCGACTTTGGTGCTGAAGTTAAGACCTGATCACCAAAGGAATAGTCCTTGGTGGTAGTGGTGTTTGTGTACCAAACTACATGCCATGCTCTCTTCTTCTTCTTTTTTTTTCCCTCTCCTGCTCAACCATCTTTTTTACATGTACACAGCAGATTTGTATGAATATGCTAAATCTGACTGTTTCCTGGCTAGATTACTTTGATTAACACTAAGCACACAAGGAAAACAAAACTGATGTAAGGCAGTGATGTCTTAAAAAGATTCTTCACGATCGTGCTCTGCTCTTTCAGTGTAGTCTCTTAAGATTCCATTTACAATGGTTTGTATGCTGTAGCTTCTGTAGAAGACGGTCTATGTTAGCATACAGCAGATGAAAACTTCTCTCAGAAATCACCTTCAAAATAATCCTGGAAAGCTATTCTATTGAATGTATATGTTCATGCTGCTATTTGACCAGACAGCTTTCCGTAGGAGAGAGAAGATTTATTTGAATCAGAATTCTGTAGCCAAAACACTGAACACTTCACTATTTAAGATGCAATTACAGGCATTAATCAGTTTTATGTCTTTCAGATGTCCAACATCACAGTGACATACAGAGATGGGCGAGTGGCAGAGATGGAGCAGGTGTACATTAGGGGGAGCAAGATCCGGTTCCTCATTTTACCAGATATGTTGAAAAATGCTCCTATGTTAAAGAGCATGAAGAATAAAAACCAGGGCTCTGGGGCTGGACGAGGCAAAGCAGCTATTCTCAAAGCCCAAGGTGGGTACCTCTGTGTCTAGTCATCTTTAAATTTCCTGTAGGAAATTGAAGCAGGTGTCATTATCTAGAGTTCTAGAGTAGAAAGAGTTCGGTTTATTTCACCTCTTAACTATGAAATCCCAAGCAGTGGAGGCATTTTGCAAGTATCCAGAAGAGAGGTTTTAAAAATGGGCTAGTTTGCCCTTCATTTTCCTTTTTTCTTGACTTGATTTTTTGTCAGGTTCAAATTTCTCATGTCTCAGAAAATTTAAAATAGTATTTAAAAATAGCTAGGCACTTAGCCTTGTAAAAGTTCAACACTTCTACATAAATCTCAAGATTGTAGTGCTCCCCAAGCATGTGTGCAGATTTTGAAGCAGCTGTTTGCATCATTTGGATCTTTTATCAGTGATCTGTCTCTCTGCATTGGGTTAATCAAATCTACTTCAGTTATCACCCAAGAATTAATTTAAATATAAAAATGGCGCTTAAGTTCAACTCCTTCTATATTGCAAAACTAGAAAAATCAGACTTCTCTAGCTTTGAGTGCCTAAATTACGCAGATTGGTATATAATGATTAAGAGTATCTATTTTGGGTCTATATATATAAATCACTTTGAAAAAGTGAGCACTTCAAGATCTGTTCAGGCATGGCGTGTAATGATGGTGGCAGTAAAAAAATATTCAGAAATGTCACTGGGATGGCATTGACTTCTTAATACAGACCTGGACTGCATGTTTGTGCCACTAAATAGAACGAACTGCTAATCCAATATTAGTTGCACCTTTCATATGGTTAGAAGCATGTAAACATTGAATTGTGCTCCCCATCACCAAGCACTTTGAAAGATCAGTACATCAACTACTGAACGGTACAGATTAACCTAATTTCCACATTGCTAACCCAGTGCAAGAGGCTAGGTACAATACCTTTTGATACAACTCTTGTAGTTTCTTACAAACATTTTATGTCTGATCCACATAATCCCTTATTTTCTTTCTTCAGTGGCTGCAAGAGGGAGAGGTCGTGGAATGGGCCGTGGCAACATTTTCCAGAAGCGAAGATAATTTTGGACTCAGCTGACTTTTTTTTTTTTTTTTTTTTTTAATTAGGGCTTCATTTACTTCTGGTGCAGCAATTAGGGTTCTGTTTAAATAAAATCTGTTTCTGACAAAAAAGAGTTGTGTGCTGACAAGTTTTGTCCGGGACATCACGGATGAGGGGATGGCTTTCTGGGAAGAGGGTTGCATATAGGTTTAGAAAGCTCAATCTTAAAATAGGCTGGTACATGAATTTGTGAGTTCTCAGTGTTTGTTTGTTTTTTGTTAAATCATGAATCTCAAAATTGTGTCCCTCACTACTCTCACTAAATCCTGTTGCCATCAGTTCTGCAAAGAGAAATTAAGTCAGCATCCAAATGGGTGTTTTTAGATAAGGGGATGCATTCCCAACTGGCAGAATGCTCATGTCTCGATGGAATGTTTCAGGGATTTGCTGTGGCCTCGAATTTTTGTGACCCAATAAAGGATCTTGTTGAGAATGAGAGACTTATTGTTGACAGTTCTGTAAGCACCAGCTCTTGACTTGTGCTCTAAATCACTTGAGTGAGCTGTTGATGAGCTGCTGTCTCATTTTGCAGTGCAGTGTGCAGTAGAGAAGTGAAGGAAAGGCATGCAACAGACCATGGGGAAGAAAAGAGTATTTGGACTGGCTACTTCAGTGGGTCATAATGCAATTGAATAAACAACTGTTTGACTGAAGATTTGCTGCCAAAAATACTCCCTCCTATGTTCAGAGAAAGGGCCAAACGAAAAATAGATCCTTGTCTTTCATATCACAGTGAAGATGCATCCGGAATCTGAGTTGTGATTTTTCTCTCTCAAAAGATAAGATAAAGAAGCCTAAACATAGCTTCTGACTTTGCAATTATGAAAAGTTTGTCAGTAAGCTCCTGCCATCGATATTTCAGTAGAGTGACTTGGTGTATTTGGAGAGTTTAAAATGAGACTAATTACTCAGCTGCTACCACTTGATCTGCTGTAGTTTTAAGAGATTAAAATAATTTTGATTTGCTGTTTAGGGGTTTACCAAGTTGAATGCTCCTTCAGTTCTAAACCCATAAATATATGTGAAGAATCTCCTTAATTTTCAGTCATATTTTGCATCTTGCTGACTTAATGCTAGTGAACTTGTGACTAGCAATGTTAAATTTAGATTAACTGGCTAATCGAATAGTCGATACAATTTGCATTGACTATTTGATTAGTTGCTAAGCCTCTACAAAGACTGGAACATAGATAAGTAGAAATAGGAAGTTGTGGTCTATATTCCTGAGAATAGTAGTATCCAAGCACGGATGGTATCCGTAGGGACTCAGCCCTCTCCAAAAAGACCTCCGGGAGTCAGTCTGCAGAGAGATTGTACCCCTCAAACTCACTGAACCTTGTTGTATCCCCTAACCCAGAGGGTATGACTACTGTATAGAAAGACTTTCACTAGTGGGTCCCAAGCTAGCATGCTCATAACTGAATTTCACGGCTCTGGCCAAGACTGACTGCCACCCTAACTTAGACCCAGGGTGCCAGGTGCACTTGCAGCATGGGCAACAGCTCAGGTTCTCAACAGCCACATCCCTGTTTTCAGCAAGCTAGCATGAGCTGGTGTAACCAGGGTCAGGTTCAGTCCCACATTCAGTGTAGACCTAGAGACTGCAACCTCACTGCACCTCAAAAGCCCCAAGCCCCACACAAACCCACAAGATGGGTTTGATTCTTATTTGCCTCATTTAAAATGAGCTTCAAAACTGATTTTTTTTCAATGACTACAAGATGCTCATTATCTAAAGTGCTTGAATTAAAATTTCTGGTGAGACTGGCAGGCTCCCCTCTCAGTCACTTGAAGCATTGTGAGAACCTATTTTATGTTCTGTGCATCTTGGAAAGGTCCTTCAGAAAGCGCTCGATCCTTCAGACAGCATGTGTAGCGTCTGGGGCTGGGGTACAGCGCAATGCTTTGCCACCGTGACAGGCAGATTATTTAAATTACTCAAACCTATTCCATATTATGTACTAGCAGACTTACCTGGCATTGCCTGGGTCCTTCAGGGCAGAGCCTTGAAGTTGTGTGTGTGTGGGGGGGGGGGAGTGCAGGTGGGAAGGTGGGGTGGAGGAGGGGCTCACTCTCATGTCTCTCTGAACAGCTGCCTCTCCCTTTGCATGTTATAGAAAACAGTCCTTTTCCTGGGACTTCCAGTTGTCTGTGCCAAGACCTTGCTTTATATTAGGAGAGGAAGCTGCACACTTAATTTGGTGGCCCTAGTTCTTATTGTTTAGGAGGAGCTTTTGAACAAATGGACTCACAGACAGACACTCTAAAACTGGTGGCCAACCTGAGCCTCCCCACCCCCCCCCCAATGGCCGCTGCCTCCAGTTCACCTCCAGCCCCTGGCTCCGCTGTGCTCAGCGGGTTGTAATTCAAGATGGTGGCCATCGACGGGCGCCTGAGATGGCCCAAAAGCCTAAACTTGTTTCTTAAAGAGGCAGCCTCCTTTTTTTTTTCCCCCCTCGATAATTCTGGTGCAACTCTTCGCATTTTTTCTGCCGCTGTTTCAGCTCTCTTTGTTAAATGGGTTGGCCACCCCGGCTCTAAAATATATATTAGATATAGATGAAGATATGAACTCACTGCATATAGGCCACACTTTAGATGTGGACCATTTCTGCTACAGCATGTTCTCTCAGAGTAACAATTCTAGCAGAACTTGTTCTCTGAAATAAGAGTATAAGAATGGCCAGACTGGGTCAGACCAAAGGTCCATCTAGCCCAGTGTCCTGTCTGCTGCCAGTGGCCAATACAGATGCCCCAGAGGGAGGGAACACAACAGGGAATCCTCATGTAATCCCTCCCGTCACCCACTTTCAGAGAAACAGGCTAGGGACACCATTCCTACCCATCCTGGTGAAGAGCTTTTGATGAACCTAACCTCCTGGCTACAGGTATTGAAACAGGAGCTATTTCTTGCTGTAAGGTAGTAAACAACCTGATAAATATCAGAGCTGTTAAAGGATTCAATAGTATGGTTTGGTTTGTTCACACATGCATGACCACAGTGTCATAAGGTTTGGTGATCTTTTGAAAATGGAAAGCTATTCTTCTGTGTCTGAACACAGTGGTGGTAAAACCCAATCCTGTGTGTTGCTCAGCAGATTTTAAACATCTTCACAATCTTTAATGTATGTAGCTTGGTTGTACAGATAGGCTCTCATTCCTTGACATAAGCATCAAATATTTTACGATGTCTAACTATAATGGGTCTAGTTGATCCCTGCTGCAGCTGTACTTCTGTGGAGTTACACCACAGATGAATTTGGCCCATTGATTCCAGACTAAGTCCAGTACTGACTCTGTAAGTGTGCTTTCTTCGCATAGTAACAGAGAGGTAGCCGTGTTAGTCTGGTCTTGCTGAAACAAAAGACAGGACTATGCAGCACTTTAAAGACTAACGAGATGGTTTATTAGGTGTTGAGCTTTCGTGGGCCAGACCTCAATTTGATCTGAGGAAATGGGTCTGGCCCACAAAAGCGAATAAACTATCTTTTTAGTCTTTAAAGTGCTACATAGTCCTGTCTTTTCTTTCTTCGCATGAGAGAATTTGATGCCAAATCTAACTTTATTTTAGATCTACAGCGTATTACCTTAAAAAAACCCTCCTAGTAGTTACTGCGTTTATGAAGAAATGCTGAGACAAATCAAGCCAAACACTTTCTGTAGGAGCAAAACTAATCATAAACTATCTTTTTAGTCTTTAAAGTGCTACATAGTCCTGTCTTTTCTTTCTTCGCATGAGAGAATTTGATGCCAAATCTAACTTTATTTTAGATCTACAGCGTATTACCTTAAAAAAACCCTCCTAGTAGTTACTGCGTTTATGAAGAAATGCTGAGACAAATCAAGCCAAACACTTTCTGTAGGAGCAAAACTAATCATAACTTTAATTCAGTGTTGCATGGGTGTAGATCTTAGTGTGAACTAGAAAATGTACATTGAGCTTTATAATCCCTCCATTTTTCCTTTGGCTATCGAGGAAACATGTTTACTGTTTTGTAAAAATACTTGTAAACTTTATGGATTGTAACTTGATTGCTTTTAGCCGGGAACATTGTCTGCATTAGATCAAAGATCAAATCAATTCAGATCCTGTTAGTTGGTTTAATTTTGTGGCTGAGAGATGATGTTAATCATTGGAATTAGATTTAATGCTGTTTTCTAAAGATCAAAATATTTCATGTAGCCAAAATCTAGTGGGCTGAGAAAAATATAGCCGTGTAAACTGGTATGTTATGTTAACTGGCACATTCAACGGGGAATAGCCTTTTAAACAAGATGCAGAACTAACCTGAGCTACTGTCAAGATGATATACACCACACTTGGCAGATCCAAACAAATTCTAGGAGGAAGACCAATTTAGCCCTCATTTTATCATATTTGACTCTATGTAGATGATATGGCTATTTTTGTTTAAACACTTGCTATAGGTAGAATTTGGCTTTAACACTTTTTCCATGTCTGAAATTATTCGGTTTGTTATGTATACATGAGGCTATATAGCAGTTATCTCGTCCTGCCTGCTTCCGTTGAGACCCTCTGTGGATTGATCTCCAAAAATGAAAGTCTGTGTATGAACTTGCCTACTTGTCTGTAACTGGAACCCCACTTAAGCATGGATCACTAGGAAAGTTCTAACATAGCGTTGTGATCAGTTTTATCGTGACTTTAGACCCACCCGCTCTGCAAGTTTACTTGTGATTTGAAGTTGAATCCTGAAATTGGAGCAACCCAATTGTGATTCCTGAATCTAAATGCCGTATATACACTTCTCCTTAAAATAACATAAGAACTATACTGGGTCAGACCAAAGGTCCATCTGGCCCAGTGCCCTGTTTTCTGACAATGGCCAATGCCAGGTGTCCCAGAGAGAATGAACAGCAGGTAACTAAGTAATCCTTCTTGTCACTCATTCCTAGTTTCTGACAAACAGAGGCTAGGGACACCGTTCCTGTCTACCCTGGCTAATAGCTATTGATGGACCTAACCTCCATAAATTTATCTAGCTCTTTTCTGAACCCTGTTAGGGTGCATCTGCTCTGCACCTGTGGCTTGAAATAATTTGAGCTATGC